AAGCAAAGAGAAATCTGACTTATGCTATCAATATCTTCTGCAGGGTAAAACTTCACTACCTGAACACACACACACACACACACACACACACACACACACACGTAGATATAGATATATGTTTGCCACATTTGCTGCACATTTTTTAAAGATTGTTTAATATTTTAATATAAAGCCTTACTCTTTAAGCTATATAGGTATTAAAGAATTATAGATCAATAGTCATCCATGTTTGTCATACTTATAGGTAGACTAGTCAAGTTCTTTAGATGCATAGTGATTGTATTCTACATAGATAGGTAATCTTCAACCACTTAAAAAAAACCTGTAGGATATGGCATTTAAATAATGTAAGATTCTGTTGACGTGAGACATGATTGCTCCAGGCAGCATCAATCTATTCCTGAGAGAATGTTGGGTACTGAAGACACTCCACTTGGAGCTTGTTTTATTCTTGGCAAAACTGGCCTTTGGGCAAAGAACGGCCCCTGCCTCGACCACTGACAAATTGCACAGGCTCCAGACTAGACAAGCAGGATACAAAGAAAAAAAAAAAAAAAAAGACTGCCAAACCTTGCTAAGACAGGGTAAGATGGTTTTGGAAATTATCCTGCCTCTGGAAATGGTCTGTCAGTTACTCTAGGCCTTAGCCAAAATTGGTTGCCCCAACGTTGCAAATGAGACTTTGGGTGATTGCCCAGGTAGCCAGTTGTCTCTGTCATTTCTTGCACTTTTTGGAAGTTGATTGTGATTCCTGTTTACTCAAGTAATATTATTTCCCTTCTCGGGTCTTTGATGAGGTTGAAGACCAGATAGTTACTTTCCTCTCATGACTTGGCCAAGCCATTTTTAATATAAGACTCCTAGGATAGGATAACTATTAAAACATTTAGTATATGTTTTTTGTTTGATGTTGTTCATGCTGGTTGTAATTTTAATTTTTATATATTTTTTGCCTCTTCTTTTCCCTGCACAATACTTGATATTTGTTCTTATTGTATATAGTTTTGTATTAGGCTTAGAACTTTCTTGTGTAGACAAAAGTGGGAGATGAGTGGGAAGTCCTTCAGCCAACAGCTTTAAGATACTGGCCCACTTTGGGAGTGGTCTCATGTACTATAAATGCAGAAAAAGAACATGTGTGGGTCCCTTGGCTGCCAGATTCGGTTCCAGTTCCCCACTCATGAAGAGGACTGCTGATCACTACTTTTTCTGTGAGTCTATCCCTAAATAAATGTCTTTATTATACTCCATTTTGGGCTAGTGTGGGACCATTTTATTTTAAATTGCAACAGTACTTCCTGTCCTTGTCCTAAAAATCTGCCTGAGGCTAAATTGAAGAGTTTTTGATTAACAGCATTGGCAGAGGAGATATCAAGACAGCCTAGTATTAACTGCTTGGTTATTAATGGCCACTCTTATGCAGATCTAGAATGAAAAGGAGCAAGCCTGTAAGCAGCCCTCCTCTATGGCCTCTGCAGCAGCTCCTGCCTCCCTGTTCCTGCCTGCACTGCTTTTGATGATGAACTGTTAAATGGAAAGGTAGGTAAAATTAACCCTTTCCTCCCCAAGTTGCTTTGGTCCTGGTGTTTCATCTCAGCAAGAGTAACCCTAACTAAGACAAACCCCAGGTTTTGTTAGCAGTGCCAGGATCATGAATCATCTACCAAGAAAAGCTGTAAACCCAGAGCGGAGCCTGCCCAAGAGGGCAGCTATGTGTGCTACAGGTAACAGAATGTGAGGGTGGCGCTAAGTCTGTGGCAGCTCAGACAAGGCCACATGGGCCCTGGAGCCCTTGGTAACAGACGTGGGACTCTGGGTTGGTGTCTTCCCTGCCGCCTTTGCTCTTACTTTGGTCAGATCTTTTATTGCGATCTTTCTCCTCTCTCGGAGGGAAAATGTTTGTTCCTTGCCATTGTGTATGTGACATATATAACTTGTTTTTACCTTAGAACTCAGAAAACATTTTAAATGCCCCTGCCTTAGCTTCCTGAATGTTGGCATTCCATGCCCAACTCTGAATTTGGATTTTTAACATTATAAAAGCTATTGAAATTTGGGATGTTTTAGAGGTAAGCATGCATTCTGTATTATGAGATCACATTGGACTTTATGGTCCTGGGGTGGAATGTTATGGTTTAAAAGGATTTGTCTGGGTATCAGGCTTGTGAGAACTTTTTGTTTCTGCCAAAGGTGGCGAGCTCACCAAGGGGCAGTGTTCTGAGAACCTCCCTCATCCTGTGAGTCCCTAGTGTCCATGCCTGTCTGTCTAGTCTCTGGGTATCCTGAGGCTTGGCTATCACAGCTTCCCCTTTACCCCAGCTATGAACCAGTCAGTCCTGTCAGATTGTGAGGTCAAGCTCCCAGCCATGGGGTGAGACACAGTCACTAAGTTCACTTTCTTCCCTAGTGTCCTGCAGCCTGGCTTGGGTCATAGCACACACTTTTTGCACAGATAAATTGTCTTGCCAGGTTACTTTCACCTTGTTTGTGTCGCTGCGTGTGATACAAGGCTATTCCAACAACTGGGGGCTTATCTAGGATTTCAAACCCATCTGGGAGGATTTTTGATCTCATCTCTTTGGGGAGACTTGTCCCATGGCCCTACTGGGGAGGGGTCCCAAGGTCTTGATTGACCAGCAATGATCCCAGGAAAGAGAGTTTCTTGGCAGTGTGGGGAAGGATCAAAGAAAGTTCTGTGGTGGCCATGCAACTCTGTGCCTAGAATAGGTTTTTAAAAATTGCTGTGGAGGATGACAAAGTATTCCTTTGTAAACGGAGACTGCTTGTTCATTCCTGGCTTCCCAGACCCAAATAATCATACTGAAACTATTACAACACTGCTTGGCCTATTAGCTCAGGCTTCTTACTAACTAATTCTTACATCTTAAATTAACCCATTTCTGTTAATGTGTGTATTGCCACAAGGCTGTGGCTTACTGGGTAACGTTCTGTTCTGGCGTCTTTTTCCTTTGGCAGCTACATGGCGTCTCCTTGACTCTGCCTACTCTCTCTCTATATCTCCGTTCTGATTTCCCACCTGGATTTACTCTGCAAAGCCATTGGACAAACGGCTTTATTCATGAACCAATAACAGCAACACACATACAGAAGACATCCCGCATCACTCCTTAGTGGTGGACATTCTGCAGGTTGCGTGCATGAGTGTCTTGTAGTGCAGAAACCTCCGCAAGGATGGAGATTAAACTCTGACCAGGATGGGAAATGATTAGGCCAAAATGAGTGTCAAGGAAAATAAAGAAAATAAACAATTTCCCAAGATAGGAAGGGGAGCCCACTGTCCTGGCTGACCTAACGTCTTCCCGTCCCATTCAGTACACCTTTTCCTGCCCTAAATTCAGAGAGCGTGAGCAATGCCAATGAAACTTCCAAAGCCTGTGTTTTGTCTCCTATATGCACCGTGTACCCAAGAATCTTCCACCAGGTTCCCTCTTAGAACACTGGAAGGCTTTGGATTCGGTGTGGGGGAAGGGAGAACAGAAAGCCATTTACTGTGGCTCAGTTCAGTACTGCTCTAGACCATGGTCGTAGCTTCTGTGTGTAGAAGCATCCCACAGGCTGCTGTGGTGGTTGGAATGACAATTCCACCACACAGGCTCATGTGTTTAAGCATTTGGTCCCTAGTCGGTGCAACTGTTTGGGGGAAGGATTAGGAGTAGCCTTGTTGGAGAAGGTGTGTCACGGTGGGGGTGGGTGGCCTTTGAGATTTCACAGTCCCATCATTCCTAGTTAGCTCTCTCTGTTTTGTGCTTGTGGGTCAGGTATAAGTTCTCAGCTACTGGTCGGGCACCACGCCTGCCTGCCTGCTGCCTTGCTCCTCCATGATGATCACAGACTCACCCTTTGAAACTGGAAACTTTCTTTTCTAAGGTGTACTGGTCATGGTGTCTTCACAGCAATAGAAAACCAAGATAGCTATTAAGGTTTTAAATCAGGATTAATTATTTTTTGAGACAGGGTTTCTCCATGCAGTCCTGGCTGTTCTGGAACTTGCTCTGTAGACCAGGCTGACCTTAAACTCAGAGATCCACCTGCCCCTGCCTCCCCAGTGATGGGATTAAAGGCATGTGCCACTATCACCTGGTTTTCTGATTTTTTTCCTTTGTTATTTTTGGCCTTACTGGAGAGTTATTTCTTTCTTTTATTTTAAGAATTTTGTTTTTTAAATATTTATTTATTTATTTATTTATTTATTTATTATGTATACAATATTCTGTCTGTGTGTATGTCTGCAGGCCAGAAGAGGGCACCAGATCTTATTACAGATGGTTGTGAGCCACCATGTTGTTGACTGGGAATTGAACTCAGAACCTTTGGAAGAGCAGGCAATGCTCTTAACCACTGAGCCATCTCTCCAGCCCCTTAAGAATTTTTTTTTATTTATTATGTGTACAGTATTCTCAGTATTCTGTCTGCATGTATGCCCGCAGGTCAGAGGGTACCAGATCTCATTACAGATGACTGTGAGCCACCATTTGGTTGCTGGGAATTAACTCAGGACCTTTGGAAGAGCAGACAGTGCTCTTAACTGCTGAGCCGTCTCTCCAGCCCCGAGTTATTTCTTTTCTTTTCTTTTTTTTTTTTTTTGAATGTATAAAATTTAAATTTATGATCATGGCCAGACCCTTTTACATTTAACACAATGGAAATATTCATTGTTTTCCCCAACGGAAAAAATCTGGGTCATACTATGTTGCACATAGACTAGAAATAAAAATTCGGGTACTTTTTCAAGTTTCTAAAGACTGCAAATAACAAGCCATTATTTCACTTCCAGAATCTGAAGTCAGCAACAATGATTCTTTAGTAGTTTCTCGGGCTTAAGAAGTCATTATTATTCAGATAAAGTAGTCCTCTGGTCACATTTTTTTTAAGTCCCTGCTCCACCACAACTTCCTGAGATTTGTGAGGAAACTGCAGTCTTGTGATTAGCTTCCATATAGTACCAGCAGTCTTGTAATCAGGAGAAGTCAGTGTCTGCTTTAGATGTCAATCAGTTGTAGCCTGCTGATCTGATTAGAAGCCTTGACGAATGCCTGGTGGCGATTGCAGAGAACCGCCAAGCATCCGGGTATGATACAGTAGCCCATTGTTTGGGGATCAGCTCCTGTACAAGAATAAAGAAACAAAAACATCTGTAAGTATGGTATCAGAAAAATAACTGTCCACAACCAAAAGGGCAGGGAGAGTAACCGAGCTTTCAAGGAGTGTGTCCATGTGGTTCCTTCCCGAGGCTCCTCAGGGTGCTGCGGAATGTGTCCCAAAGCCAACCTGTTGTAAGTCTCATTGATTTCACAAACACAGTAAAATGCTGCTGCACTTGCCAGCAAATACAGTCCCACTGCAGTCCACCCCTTCCGCTGACGGAAGTTCATCATTCTTCATGTCCTGTGCCTTCCTGTCCTGAGTGGCCTGCCCTTTCGCAGTCCCCGAATGCCACTGCAGTCAGAGGGGTTATTTCTTTTGTTATAGCCATCCTAATCTAACTTGGATGTTTGTTTGTTTTTTGTTTTTGTTTTTGTTTTTGTTTTTGTTTTTTGAGACAAGGTTTCTCTGTGGCTTTGGAGCCTGTGCTGGCACTAGCTCTTGTAGACCAGGCTGGTCTCGAACTCACAGAGTTCGCCTGCCTCTGCATTCTGAGTGCTGGGATTAAAGGCGTGCACCACCACCGCTTGGCTTTTTTGTTGTTGTTGTTGTTGGATGTTTGTTTGAAAAAAAAATAAAGGTATTGACTTCCACATTGAATTTTGAAATGCGTGGATCCCACGGAATCTGTTCCCTGATGGGAATGGGCTTGTTTTCATATGGAACTGAGCTCACAGCACTCCAAAGTAACCATGTAGTTTGCCACCATCTTGATCTATGACATCAACAGAGTAGTAAGAGCTCTGTGACTTTATTGCCATCTTAGTTCATACCATGTGGTTGCCTAAACCAAGATGGCTGTACCCCTAAAACTTCCCCAAACTTTCCAGTACCCCTCAGCCCTCAGGAGATCACCACAATCCTGGAAATTCTTCCACTGCAGGCCTTCAACCGCACATCCCAATCCACAGACATTCAACCACACACCCCAATCCACAGACATTCAACCACACACCCCAATTCACAGACATTCAACCATACATCCCAATCCACAGACATTCAACCACACATCCCAATCCTTTTCTCTCTTCCACCACAGGTGTTCAGCTGCACATTCCAATTCTTTTCTTTTTTTAGTGTTCACCTTCCTGGATGCCTCATAGGATCCTGGAAACAGGATACCTAGGGGAGATAACAGCATGGAATCTATAGCCTTGTAAGAAAATTGATGCATTTTCTGTGCCCAGCCACGGAGGTATTACCAAACTTTCATGATTGTTTTGATTTATTTTATGTGTATGGGTGTTTTGCCTGCATATATGTCAGTGTGCCACATACAAGGAAGTACCCAGGAAGGCCAGAAAAGGACATCGAATCTGTGGTGTTACAAATCGTTGTGAACCACTATGAGGATTCTGGGAATTGAACTCTGGTCCTTTGGAAAACCAGCAAATGCTCTTAATCACTGAGTCAGCACTCCATCTACCCCACTCCCTTCTTTTGATACTTTTGTTTCGAGACAGGACGTCACTGTAATTCTGGTGCCTGGAACTCGCTGTGTAGACCAGCCTGGCTTTGAACCCATAGTGATCCACCTGCTTCTGCCTCAGAGTGCTATGATTCAAGTTTGACGCATTGTTCAACATGGATGTATTTACTGGTTTCTAGAGGGGACTTAGTGCTTCTACAGTCAACTGAGGTCAAACTTCCCTTTGTGGGACTCCCAGCCTGGAGACTCACTGTTAGTTATGAAAGCTTGGCCTTTAGCTCCTATGGCTCAAATTAGCCTGCTGTTACTCAGCTGTGTTTACCAGTGTCCTCCCACCTTTATTCCATTCTCTATGTCTAATTCCCTCAATGTCTTGCTTGCATCTTTGCCACTCATCTTTCCCGATTCCTCTCTCCCCTGAAGTCTCACCGGTTCTCTCCGGCCTAGTTATTGGCCATTCTGCTCTTCATTAGACCAATCATAACAGCACATCTTCACAGAGTGTACAAACATCCCCAACAGTCAGCTTCCAGCGGGAGCTGACACTGGGGGTCTAGACCTGGACAGCTCACGGGAATGTGCAGAGGGCAGGGCCTTGAGAAAGCACAGACCCCAGCTGGGACTCAAGGGGGAGATTGCCAGGCGCTGGCCAAGCTGCCAGAAGCAGAGAGCTACCACAGCTGGAGGCAGGAAGTTGATGCCTGCCATGATAAGCTAAATAGAAACAGAGCACCCAAAGGAAGTTCTTTACTTCCAACCTTTATCACCTGCCAGTGTAGGACTCAGCCATCGATAAGTTTAATGGAGGCCTGAGTCTCAGTAGTTTACCCTGAAGCAATACCTGGTTGCAGGAAGAACCACAAACTGAGATTATCTGAGCACCACCCAAGAACAGACCATCCAAAGGAAATGTCTAAACATTCCAACCACTGTAGATAGGATCACCTTCCAGCACATACTCACCAGGACACCCATAGACAAATGTCAGCCAATCAGGGGTCCTGAACCTTAGAAATCCCTTACCCCCACATTTACAACTATAAAAACCCAACTCTAACTGAGTTCGGGGCTCTCCAATTATTCCAATATGTTGGACACACGGAGAGACCGAGTTTGCTAACTTGTATAAAATAAAGAAAGGCTCTTTGCTTCTACTTGTTGGTTTTTGGGGGACTCATGGATCTGGATATAACAGCGAGCCTGCTTCTCTCGAGCAGATATTCCTTCCCTTCCTGAGACTCCTTTGCTCCGTGCTTGTGACCCGCTTTTCTCTGGGGCTGCTTGTCTTGGCTGTCACTTTGCAGCGACAGCAGCATAGGCAGACTAAGGAAAAGAGCAGGTCGGCGCCACCTCTCTCCGGGTTCTTTCCCCAACCGCCACCCCCACACTCCCCACCCCCAACAAGATTTCTCCAGGTAGTTCTGGCTGTCCTGGGACTCACTCTGTAGACCAGGCTGGCCTTGAACTCACAGAGATCCTCCTAACTTTGCCTCCTGAGTGCTGGGATTAAAGGCGTGCAACACCACTGCCTGGTTCTCTCTGGGTTCTGTAAGATTTATTTTCTGTGCTCTCCAGAATATGGGTATCAAGTCAATAATAGTACCAATAGTAATATAGTAAAAGGCTGTTCACTGTCAGAACTGGGAGAAGGTGGAGAGGCCCCCTCCACCTTACAAACACCTCAGTAACTCTGGTACCATAGTTTTAAGGAATTACTATTTGAGAGTTTCAGACATGTTTTGATTGTACACACACACCAACTTTCCAGCATCATACTTTAATATGGTTTGTTGAGTTCTCTTGGATCATGCAGTATCAGTTTGATGATGTTTTATTGTGTTAATGATTCTCCCTTATCTGCTTCTGCCTCCTGGGTTCAAAGGCGTGTGCTGTTATACCCTGCCCTGGAGTTGTCTTCATGGCTGAGAGCTGGGGATGCTCCTTGGTGATCTCCGTATGATTGTGTTCCATTCTGCTCTGATATAAATAATGCTGGTTTTTGAAAGAAAAAGAAATCAACAGAGTTCCTGGCTGCTCTTTATACAAGGGCTAGCTTAAAGAACAAAATTGTATGTCTAATCAAGTTTTATTTAAGAGTGTTCGGCTTTTACTCAAGCTTTATGTAAATAATGCACAGTAGTTAAAAATACCAGACTGGTGGAATTGACCTTCTGTGTCTTCAGTAACCATAGTTGGAGGCCTCTATGGATATGGCCAGAGGTATTATTTTAAAGTCCGCTAAGTTTCAGGGGACTGTAGGGGCATCTCCTGGATTGTCCTATAACTGTGAGGAGGCACCTGTTCTCTTGTTCTGAGAGGCCGTGGAGACCTCCTCCAGTGAACTATAACCTGTGCACGGTCTACAAAGAGGAGCATCAAGACAGGGAAATTTTCCACAATGCTTCCAAGAAGCACGGGCTTCTCCTCACATAGATGGAAAAACTGGGGAGAGGAAGGTTAGCACAGCAGACGGTCTTCTCAAGTCCAAGTGACCCCCAAGGACAGATTCGCAGAGGACTTGACAGTGTGTATTAGTTACTGTTCTGTTGCTGTGATAAGACACCATAACCAAGGCAACATACAGGAAGGAGAATTTACTTGGGGCTTAAGATTCCAGAGGGAGAGGAGCCGTCACCATCACGGTGGGAAAACATGGCAGCAGGCAGGCCTTGGCCATGTGTCTCTTGACATCAGTAGAACAATAACCAGGACACTCTTGGTTCATAACGAACACTCGATTAACTTGTCTATCAAGACATACTTTATGCTGATATTCAACTGTGCTGGGAATTAAAGGTTCAATTCACAACAACTCCTGAGTATTCCTCCCTTAGGATCCCCCCACCCTCCCTCAAGAGGTTTCACTTTTCTGTAGGAAATCTGTCCAAGCAAAGCAGAATGACGGGTTGGTGATGAGGTTGGTTCAGGCAGCTGGGGATAGTAAGGGTCTCTCGTGGGAGGAGCTGCTGCAGAGGAAGTGCTGGGTGACAGAGGCGAAGGGGAGTCAGAGCTGCACTGGTTGTTCAAGGGAAATGTCTAAAGACTTTATAGGGAAAGAAGGCATGATGCGTGAGATTGTTAGTTTCATGGGAAAAACCATGTGTTAGGTGATACAGCACAGCATAGACCGAGGACCATACAAAACAGAACATAGCCCTGGGGAGATGCTTGGAGGGTAAGGTGTTTGCCAGTGTGTGAGGACCCATGTTCTAATCTCCAGAACCCATGGGAAAACTGGAGGGGGGGGCTGGCCTGCGTGTGAGCCCAGCATGTGGGAAATGAAGACAGAATCCTGGAGTGAGCTGGCTTGTCATCCTCGCTGCAAGAGAGCCTGTCTCCATATATAGGGTGAAGAGTGAACAGGGAAGAGACCCAGGGTCAGTCTGGACCTTACATGTATGTACACACACGTGCTTAAACATACACACATATACACACCACACTCATGTGCTTGAACATGCACACTACACACATATATATACACACACACACCACACGTATGCTTGATATGCACACATACACACACCACATGTGCACACGTGCCCAAAAAAGTCTACAACATTGACTGACATGCCCATCCCTCGGGTTTCCTGTGGCAATCCTTAGGTTTCGATGGCCGTAAAGGGGGAGATGTTTGACATCTCGGGCATCATGTTGGGATCACTGGCACCGACTAGTCACTACGACATCCTGGGGTCTACTTCAGCCTTCTGCATGCAGAAAGTGGCAGTGGCTGAGGCTCGACCCCTCCTCCTCCACGACAGTGCTCTGAGGACAGGCTCAGCATTTTATTTCTTGGGGCTTCAAGAGCTCATTTAGGAACAGCACAGTGACAACAAGCAACAGTCGCGAGATGCTACTCAGTAGATCTCACTAGTCTCAATGTGGCCTTGGAGAGTGGGGGCCAAGCGAACAGAGTGAGGCCAGGCTCCTCAAGGGAGGGCTCAGAACATAGAGGAGGGGATTTGGGGCGAGCCTTCAGATCCAGATGTCAGAACTGCAGTCACCTCCTGGGTACCGAAGCTCATGAGCCAGTGCTGGACCAAGGGGCTCCTTCCCGAAGTCCACCAGAAAGTTGGGGTTCAACTTGAGCCCTCCATTTACAGTGTCTACATCAATTTGCAGCATCACGGAGCCTTCCCTGGAAGACGAAGAAAGGGTGAGAGGTGATATGTGACCAGCACCCCCACCCCAAGATTTGGTGAGGATAAATGGGTTCCTGGGATGGGCAGGGCCCACATGGGCCGTCTGTCTGGTAGGGCACAGGTGGAGTTCCTGAGTTGTCTTCAGAGCCCACGCGATCCTTCTGGAGGCCTGGTGGAGAGGTGATCCTGGACACTGCTGCTCACCTGATGAGGTCGGGGTAAAACTGCTTGTCCCAGGCGCTGTACAGCGACGAGGTGACATAAAGACGCTTCCCATCCAAGCTGAGCTGGATCATCTGAGGGCCTCCAGGAATGCGTTTTCCCTTGGGGAGACAAGAGGTCAGACTCCAAGTGACACACAGATGGGTCCCAGAGCATCCCCCCAGATTCTCCTTGAGCATGGGTCTGAGGGGCCAGTGAGGCCAGGGCGATGTTCTCACCTTGACCACTAGGGGCTCCGGCTGACACTTTAACTCTTGGTCCTCCAGCACCTCCACAGGGCCTCCTTTAACAATGCTGCCCCCAAGGAAGATCTGGGTTCAGGGGTGCAGAGGACAAAGGGGGGCAACAGTGAGAGATACAGTGACGATTAATGTCCATTATCAACCTCACTGGGTGTGGGAATCAGCGAGGACACACACGCCTGGAGTGTCTGTCTGTGGGGCATTTCAGAGAGTTTTAATCAGGAGGAAGATGCACCCTGAGCAGCAGTGGGTCTGATTCCAGAGCAAATGGAAAGGGGAAGACAAGCTGAGTCCCAGCATCCAACTCTGCCTCCTGTGACCGCACATGTAATGTGACCAGCTGCCTCCTGCTTTGCCGCCGTACCTTCTGATTACGATGGAGTCTGTCCCTGCTCAAAGTCTGAGCTGGGATAAACCTTTCCTCCTTTGTGTCTGTGGGATATTTCATCACAGAAGAGTAACTCATACAGGTGTGGACATTACCGAAGAGCTGTTCTCCTTGATTAGAATCGTGTGTGTGTGTGTGTGTGTGTGTGTGTGTGTGTATGTGTGATAGCATCTCACCATGGAACTCTGGCTGGCCTGAAACTCACTATGTAGACCAGGCTGGCCTCGAACTCAAATCCACTTCCCTCTGTCTCAAAGGTGTGCTCCTCCACACCCGGCTAGCATCGCTTTCATATGAGAGTCGTTTCCTGTGCTCAGCCAGGACTCCACAGTCCTGAGCCTGTACCTTGGCTCACAGTTTTGCTTTTCCTGCTCCTCCCTTACCACCCCGGAGCGTCCCCTCCTCTCCATCTTGCCTAGACTCTTCCTCCACCAGTGCCCCTACCTGCCCAGCAAGGCGGGGCTTCTGTGGGTTGGAGATGTCGTACTGTCGAATGTCCCCGTGCAGCCAGTTGCTGAAGTAGAGGAAGCGGTCATCCAGGGACAGCAGGATGTCGGTGATCAAACCTAAGGCGTGGGTTGAGGGCTTTAAGGAGTCTCCCCAGGCCAGGACCCCACCTGCTGACCCCACCCTCTCCCGGAACTCACCTGGCATTTCGGGCAGCAGCCAGCCCTTCACTTTCTTGGAGGGCACCTGGATCACCTTCTCCACGGACCAGGTGCCTCCCTACATTGGGGAAGGGAGGCAGGAAGTGAGCTGAGAACTGGGGACAGGGAGGAGCAGACACTGGGCCTTGTGGCTAGGGTCTCCTTCCCTGCAAGCCACTAAGGCAAGGAGCATGACTGCTCCACCATGGCCCCGCCATTGCTCCTCAGAGTGGCTCCCAGAGATGCTCACTAGGTACATTTTTTTTTTCTTTTTGAGACAGTTCCATGTTGTCCACGCTGGCCTCAAACTCCTGTTCCCCCAGCCTCCACTTTCCAAGTGCTGGGGTCACGTGTGTGCCACAGGACCACCTTAGGTTTTGAATGAATGTATCCATATGGCCCCACCAAAAGTCATGCTGAGATGTAATTACCATTGTGAGGAATTAATAGGTGGGACCTTGACTGGGTTTTTGAGACAGAGGTCTCACTGTGTAGAAGAGGCTGGCCTTGAACCTGCAATCTTCCTGCCACCACATCCCAAGTGCTGGAGCTACAGGTGTGAGCCATTCTGACTGGCTAGGTGGGACCTTTTAGTATTGTTTGTTTTATACGTATGAGTGTTTTGCCTACACGTATGTCTGTGTACCACACGTGTTCATGGTGCCTTCAGAGGCCAGAAAAGAACTCATGTCCCCTGAAACTGGAGTTACAGGCAGTGGTGAGCCGCCCCACGTGGATGCTGGGAATTTAACCCAGGTCTTCTGGAAGAATGGCGAATGCTCTAAACTGCTGAGCCGTCTCTTTGGCCCCTGATTATTTCCTGAGACCGCGTTTCACTATGTGGCCTTGACTGTCCTAGAACTTGCTACGTAGACCAGGCTGGCTGCCGCTTCAGAGATCCGTCTGCCTCTGCCTCTGCCTCCCAAGTGCTGGGGACAAAGGCCTGTGCCACCACCTTGAAATAATTAAGGCAGAGCTCACGGAGGATGGATTCACCTGTGAGAGGATTCATGGTTTTCTTGAAAACGAACCCTTTATAAAGTCACATGGCCTTCTCATCCTGTGATGTCCCTGGAGGTAGAGTTCCCAACCACCAGAAGCCATTCCTCAACCCTGGAAGGCCTAACTGCAGACCTATGAGCTGTCTATTCCTTATCACTGTCCTGCCTGGGATCCTCAGTTGCTCAGTTATAGCAACAGACAACAGACTTAGTCAAGGTGGAGGTTAGTCTGGCCCAGAGAGAAGAGAGGCCAGCCACATATCAGCGTTTCTTCCTGGGAAGCCTTAGGCTGGTGGAACTACAAGTGTGGACGCTGAAGCCTGGGAGGAGGTCCGGAGGAGACT